AGTTTCACCATTCGTAGCACTATATTACAACTCGTCAAAGAGACAAGTGAAACCGATCCTTTGACCAAACCTGTGCTAAACGGTTATGGTACTCCCATTCTGCCCTGGCCTATTTACATTTCCTATATCATCCGTCTGCCCTCTCACTGGTTCACATATTTTTCTCGACCTCTGTCACCCCATCTGTGCCACCCGAGGCGTTATCGGCCCTACCCTGCGTCTGGGTGATAATTCAAGGCTCAAGCCTCTGAGTAAGTGTCATGGTCACGCCTTTGCCACATGGACCACGTCTCTTATAAAAATTACTGCAGTCCACTAGCTCCCATCGCCGCCGCGTCTATCCTCTTTCTATCGATCATTCCAAGTCTATGACTTCCCATGCCCTAGTATATTGTGTGCCAACCCACAAACGTTCTGGTTCAAAATTGAACCTAACCAAAGCAAGCAGTACCACAACATTTGTGGGTTGGCATACAAGAGACTAGGACATTGGAAGTCATAGACTTGGTATTAGAAATAGAAACAGGATAGACGCGGCGGCGATGGAAGCTGGTGGGCTGACAGTAGTTTTTATAAGAGACGTGATCCATGTGGCAAGGGCCTAATCATGACACTTACTCAGAGACTTGAGCCTCGAATTAGTCACCCAGACGCAGGATAGGGCCAATAACGCTTTGGGTGGCACAGATGGGGTGGCAGGGTTTCGAGTGAAATATGTGAACCAGTGAGAGGGCAGACGGATCATATGGGGCAAGAGAGTGACTGTGGTAAGACCTAGGGAAGGAGGACTGCGTAACAATATTGCAGACTGATAAACATTTCCAGGACAAGGATTAAGGGCGGTGAGAAGGCCAGCGTGAAGTGCGGAGGATTCTCCTGAAAGCCGCTCAAAAGGGCACACCGTACCACATTTAACTAAGCAAATAAAATATTGTGACAATGAAGACGTGATTGGAGGATATAGGAAATGTGAATAGGCCAGTGCAGAATGGCAGATACCACAACTTGTCTCTGACGAGTTGTAATATGGTGCTACGAATGGTAAAACTCATTGACGATGCCGGCGAAATGTCTGGGAATGTACCACGTTCACGTTCCGACTTTGGAAATAATAATGCATACAAGGAACTCAGGACAAGGTGTGTTCCTCTTAGTCTTAAAATATGACCAAGTTGTGAAAACAAGGTCTAACAACTTCATAACTTATTTTGTACTTTCTCAATGATTTAAGAATTTCGATTTCTATATACGCGAAAAGGTGCCTGACATTACTACTAAATTTTCGATTTATATGTAGTTTACGTAGTTTACATGTTCATCAAAATTAGAATGGTCGAAACTGGTTGCAGTTACTCCTTAGTATATATATATAATTCGCTTGTAATCCCTTAAACACTTCAAGTAAGATATTCGTGTGTTTCATTCCTCAGTATTCTCGATATTTGGCGAATCCGACTTTGGCATGTCCCTTTCTGGGGCTACCATCAATACTGGCAACAGTGGAGCCGGCAGTGTTGGCGGTAGTTCTCCTTCGCCTGTTGCCATGACTACTCTGACAAACCGCCGCAACAGGCTTAACTTGACTTTGCCTACAACCGCATTGCCAGGTTCTTCATCCCATTCAAGCATTATCAGTGCCTGTAGTCTTTCTAGCCAGCCAAAAGACAGTGCTGTAGCGACTTCGAAAAGCTCGAACACCTCGATGTCCGGGCCGGCAACTACGACAGCTGCTATTCATCCCGTTTGTGAAGCGACAGACACGCGCCTTATTCCTGGACGCCGGTTGCATCTTCAACATCCACCAATGAAGCTGGCACCAGCACACCACGGGCCAGTCAATGATGTCAGAGCGTCTGGATTGCTGCTAACAGGCCATGTGGACTCCCCCGAAGCACATTGTATGACAGGGTCCCATACCTCTGCCTTTGATACCGCTTTATGCTCAGGAAATTTACCTCCATCGGCATCGATCCTTGCCGCAGCAATGAGTTCTGATATAGCTGGGGCTGGAGACACTTTGTCAAATTCAGACTTAAATCAAGTAAGTAACATTAGGCTTTCTTCTTTATAGCAAGCTCATGCGTTAGTTCTATAATTAGAGCAGACTGCCTTAACGAAGTATGAATTGCTGGCTGAGCTTTTACTAAAATTGAGAAAGATATTCCAGTTTTTCAGATTATTCTTTTCATCCAGGATAAAGCACAGCTTTTACCTCGGCTTTGCTGTACTGATTTAGTACAGTAAGCTTTAATAGCAGATATTTTTTAAATAGCAAGACGGTTCGATCCGTAGTTGCTTCCACTTTTACCACTTAACCAACTACTAATTCAATTGTCCCTGCTTGGTCATCTCTTTTAAATAAATTATTTACTGCCTTTTCATGTCAGATTCAAAGTTAAATTATCAATCCAAGTGGATAGCAAATGCATAATTTAGCTATATTATTATTTTTGATTATAACCAGCATCAGATTACGTGGCCAGTTAACTGATAACTGCCTCATGAACAGATCGAAAATTACTTGCACCACCTATATGTTTTGTCTATTTTACGCTCCTCCATCTTGGTCTGCCAAAATCATTTTCCAATATGAATGATTTATCTGGCGCTAGTTTCTAGACGGTTAGCGCACACAGAGCCGGTATCCATAAAACCATGCTTGGCTTCAACAACACATGTAGCCAGTTAAATACAAGCATTGATTCTATCCATATACTTCTTGAGAAGGCTCATCACACTGTCTGACCTCGAAGCTCTGGATCAATTTAATAGCTTAAAATCCAGGGGACTCTAAATTGCCGAGTAAAATTATACTATCTGACTAAAAAAATTTCAGAGCAGCGTATCGGCCTGTCTGGAGGGTGTCTGTCCTTATTCGCTTAGACCAACTATAAACAAATAATTATTTACATTTAATGTATTGATCTCTCGTTCACCCTTCAAGGCCTGTAATTCATAATGCGGCAACTTGGTTTGTGTCTTAATTTTAAGATTAGCATTACTCTAATCAGGTTGATCAACAATCTTATTAATTATATCGTATCCTTATTTAATGCGAGAAAAAATTGCATTACGTTCGCAATGGCATCTTT